CTCAGAGTCAAGCTCTCTTAGAAGCATGTAAGATCTTTAGCTCCTTTCTAGCTTTCAGAGAAGATAATGCTAAAAGTTATTCATATTTTGGCTCTTGGTTCCTTTCAGCTGAGATTTTTAAAGACTTTTGACAAGTTTGAGACAATGTTACCATAGGTAGTTGCATTTTGACTGCTCTCTTGCAAGTACTTGGAAAAGAATTTCTTGGTGGTTTTTTTTTCCAGCCACAGAGCTATTTCCAAGGATAAAACATTCTTGGCTAAAACCAAGCAAAGGTGTTCTTGAACATTCAGGAGTAGAGGGAGGGAGCCTTTAATAGCTGATTGTAGCGTTCTCTATTTAGTTGATCTATGGTTCTTGTTGTATAATGTAATGATTTTGAATATTCATGTTGCTGAAAGGCGGAGCCGAGACAAATACTATAAGAGGTGGAGCCTGAGTCAATATTTCAGTCAGAGAGTGTGAGATGAAGTGAGTTGAAGTCAGATGAAAGTGAGAGTAGAGTCAGGGTGTGTAATAGAATGTGTAGTTTGGGAAATTTAGGTGTGATTAACTACTGAAGATATTTATGAATCTCTGTAATCAATAAACCAAGGTTTTATTTAAAAGAACTTGAAGTGTGGACCTGAATTTTTCTGAAGTAATGGTGATTTAGAGATCACCTGGTGGCAGCAAGTGAAAAGAGTGAGGTTTGGTTCCCTTCATGTGCTCTGGGGCTTGAAGGTCAAGAAAGGGGCACGAGGGTGGATGCCACAATTGGTGTCCAGTGGCAGGATACGAAGTAATCCAGTGAAGCCTGTGTTGAACTCAAAGAATTCCAGTCAAGCCTGAGTTTAAAAAGAATTTTCCTTGAGTCAAGGGTACCTTTTAGACAGAGGTCTGTGGCAGAGAAGTTTGGTTCCTCACTAGAGCTTTTGGGAAAAGCTTAGTAGTGGGGGCTTCTGAATCCAGATCTGGGGGGTCTAAGTTAGGGAACGACTCTGAAAGGAAATTCTTGTGTTTACCTCAGGATCTGAAGACCAGGGGCTTGCTTAAGGTTTAAGGCTCTAAGAGAGAGAGTGCTTGTGAAAAAGCAGAAGCCAGGGGTCAAAGCAGATCTGAGGGAAGAAAGGAGAAAGCCTTTACTTGAAGTAGAATTATATTAGTGACTGGAAGTAATAGAAGAAAATCAGGTCTTTGAAAATAAGTACACACTCTGTAGTAATCATCCCAGAAGTAAATATGCCACCCAAACGCTCCACAAGGGGGAATCCTGAGGCTGAGGTTTTAGCTGAAGAAATGGAGGGAAACAGTGACCCTTTTAATGATCTGAGATTCAGCAAGAGGAATTGGATGAGGTTGCCTCAGAGAAACCAAAAAAATTAAGCCCTCAGGAGTTTGAAAAATGGAAGCTGGAACAGGAATTCAAGCTGAGAGCAAGGGAATTAGTGGCTGAAGAAAAAGCTAAAGCCAGGGAATTAGAATATAAGGTGGACGCCACACTTATGGATCACCATCAATATTCCCACTCCCAGCTGCAGTGATCCAGATCCCGAGACTCCCAAAAGCTTACATAGGGCAAAAGGGAATCCTAGGAAGCTTTAGAATCTGAAATGAGGGAATAGCAAGCTTTGAATTACAGTGGTGCCTCGCAAGATGAGCACTTCGTTTTACGACGAAATCGCATAACGATGAAATTTTTGTGATCGCAAAACGATGTTCCCTATGGGATTTTTTTGCTATGCAATGATTGGTTCCCTGCTTCACTAACCGATTATCGCAAAATGACGATTTTCGCACAGCTGATCGGCGGTTTCAAAATGGTAAAAAAAATGGCCACCCGCTGTTTTCTGGGATGGATTCCTCGCTGCACGGGCAGCGAAATTGGCCGCGCTATAGAGGATCTTCACTGGACGGTGAGTTTCAAGCCCATAGGAACGCATTAATCGGGTTTTAATTTGTTTCTATGGGCTTTTAAAAATCGCTTTACAATGTTTTCATTCCACAGCGATTTCGCTGGAATGAATTAACATCGTAATGTGAGGCACCACTGTAATTTAAATTAAATATTATCAGTGGTGGATGATAACACCATTTGTCTCCACAGTGTAATTTTGCACTAATAGGATTGCCAATGTGTTTATTAGGCACTTTTATGAGTCAAGTATCGATTAGAATACTATAACTATTTTTCTCTCTTGGGATTGGTTTTTTTTAGTCTGTTTCAACAAGGTTTGCTTTGTATTCTGTGCCCTACTCAAGTTTTTATTGCTGACATTGCATAGTAACAAACAGCATTTTAAGAAAGCAAAGCCAGCAAGCCCAACTGATTTAGTAAAATAAAACCATCTGCTTAGAATTTTTTAACAGTATAGAGTACTGCCTTATTTACTTGTTAGAAAATGGTTTTACAAGGCAGTGGTAGATGTGAAAGACAGTTTAATGTATACGAAAAGCCATTTGTTACTTGTGTGGTGTTTTCTTATTGAAGTACCTGAATCTTATATCTGGATGCTAAACTACAGTATATATGTCTGTATTTGTCATTCATCAGACTATTTCTGTTTCTCATGGCTGTATACATCATTAAATCCAGCACACTTCTTGCTTATATTAAAAAGCAAACACCTCAGTCGCTGCCAAAATGTTATAACATGAATGAACCATAGCTTGCATATATAAAAATGCAGAATGTATCTTGTGAGAGTAGAACCTAATCTTAATTATTTTTCACAACGTGTTAATCATTTCTGTTTTTAATTCAGATATTACATTAAATTGGTTGTCTTCACTCTTCTATTTGAATTATGATATGTTTGGTCATCATATTTGAAAACCTGATCACTAAATGGAGAATTTTTTTTTGCTTTAAGGACAATTGTCAGAACTTTAATTTCTTTTGCAGTCAGCTTTTGCTGTTTTTTGCTGAAAAATCAGGAAAGGGTACTTTCTGCAGCAGAAGGCAAATACCACAAATTTGGAATAAAGCCAAAGGTATATTTTATTCTAATATGTTTTCATATGGAATTTTTAAAACAATACCAACAACTGAGTACTGATTTACCAGTGTGAAGAATCAGTGCTGGGGTATTAAATTTAACCTATATGTTGGCAGTTTTTCATCAAGATTACATATTAGTCCTTTCTGTTGATTTTTAAGCATCTTGGAATATTCTTTGAGTCATTCTTAGGATTTTAAAACACATTGAGCCTAGAATCTTTATATCCATAATTCATATATGTAGTTACCTAAAGTTTAGGAGGAAATGTTTTGAAAAATTCGGGCTTCTACAATTATAATTCTTTCACTGATATATTTTTTTCTCAAAATAGCAGGTATCAAATAAACTATTACCTGAAACTGAAAACTTGTCATCTATGAAATAGCTGCTGGATTTCTTTATCTCTCATAGATGGCAGTGAAGCAAGTCTCTGAATCACAGCTAGTACAAAATTTAGAGCAAACCATTACTGTGACTGAGTAAAAAAAAAAGATTTCAGTAAATTTATCTTGATTTTTTTTTTACCAATAGCTAAAATGTTCTTGTATAAGCATGTGGCAGACTTGTTGACACTATTAAAAGAAGTATTCTTTAAAACTTCTTCTAAAGCCACTATTTTTAAAACAAGTTTGAATTTTACATGTCATCAAGGATTTGTTATGGTTATGTTAAGATACAGCCAATCATGTATCAGATGACTTGACAGTAATTTATGAAGGCATAAATTGATTAAGATTCTGAAATTATTTTTCATACAATTTAAATATAAAAATGAAATGCTGTTCTGTTTTCTTTTCCTTATTAAATTAATAGAAACATGAGTGTGTAATATCTGTATTAGACCACTAAACTCTCACAAACAGTTCAGCTTTTGAGTCCTGCAGGACTCTTCATCAGGATGGTTATTACAGTGCTTGGGTTGTAGAGGAAACAGGAAAGCCCAAAAATCATCTTGGCTTGATGTTGGAACCAGGCTCTCTTCTTTAAAGTTAATCCTTAAAATGGAGGCTTCAGCTTTTCTGACACGTCTTGAGGGAGCAGGTTTCACCTATGGGATGCAGACTTCATTGTCTTTTTAAGTGTCTGTAAGCAAAGGATTGCCATTCACTCAGCATCTTTTCTATTGCCTTATATGAAAAGATAAAATTAAAAATGCATCCTTGTTGTGAAACTGAACTTAGTTGTTACAGATTCTATCTAGTTAGAGATTATAGTGGAAAGATCCCCTAGTGTATGTAGTCACAAAAGGCACTTAATGAAGTACATTGAGCATTGTAGCTTGGACTACAATCGTTCAGAATGAATACTTTTGGCAATGATCATTAATAAATTATACTGAGGTGGCTTTTTCTTTTAGAGGGCTAGTTTAACCATTCTTCTAGTTCATCAGGCAGCAAATAGTATTCCTTATGGTAGCTGTGTTATACGACAGTTAAAGTTGCTCCACAAATAATATGTTTAATTATAACGGGAAATCTTTGTATGTGTCTGTATAATGACATTTTTAATGAATGTGTGCACTAATCAAACCTGTGCATGGCTGTGTGACAGAAACTGTTGTTTCTGTTTAAGGAAAAAATCAAGTGGAAATATGCTTCTGAAGACGCTTGTGACATTTAAGAGATGTTGACTTAATTGGTTCATTTTTCTTTTCCAGGTTTAAGTTAGCATTTTTTTAAAAAAACACTTAACTATTTTTCCTATGAAGGCTTATGGCAGTTAAGATTGTAGTCAAATAGCCATTTCCCCCTTGTCAAATTGGAAATAGGAAGCAAAGGCTGACTATTTCTCTCATGTTTAGACACAATGTAATTTAGTTATCAGTAACATCACACATTTTCTGCGAAGGATCTGTCTACAGATACTTTGAATACTATAAACTAAAACCTTAACCAACAGTTTAATTATTTTGATAACATATAGAATGTAACACCAGTTGCATCAATGTAAAATTTACAGCCATTAATAACTGCAGAAAAATTGCATGCAGATTAAGAAAGAAAAGGTATAAACACTAACCTTGTGATGATTTCTTATTTTGAAAAAGAGTAAGAATCTAAAGATATTTTTTCTTTGTATATCTTCTCCTCGGGCCAGTAGAGTTTGCCGGTAATTTGTGTTGCTTTAGACAGAACTGCTCCTTTGTCTTGCTGTACTACATCCAAGTGTGTATCACCCCATTTAGTTTACTCAGAGAACTAGTTATCAGAATCATTTCTTTTGAGTCCAAAAAAGATGGAGATGTTTCAAAACTGCTCTGCATTTGCTGTGCATACTGGATATGTACTAACCAGCAACAGCTGACCTTGCTTCCATATACAGCAGACCTGGGTGTGTTTCTTAAACAAACACATGCCTAGATTTAAAAGAAGTCAGCTCACATATGATGTCACCGAAGAACAAGGGGGAGAGAAACCCTTAGAAGGATTTCCTATCCACAACTTTTGAAGGAGGAAGGGGAGGAGTAGGGCAAGAAGCACAGTGTGAACAAGGAGATATTGTTTGCTAGTTGAAGAGAGAGCAGCAGATGGAGAAACAATAAGATTTCAGGCAATTACAAAACTACACAGTACAGCCTCAATATGGCTTCTAAGTTATGGAGTAGTAAGCTTAATTTTGAGGAAAGATTCTTCCAGGCTAGTAAATTTACTTTTCAGTTTCCAGAAAGAAATGAAACTCACTGCACGAAAATATGTAACAGTAACCTAAACCTTTTATAGTCCTGAAGAATGTGGACCAAATGTCATTTTCAGTTCTTTTACATGTACTTAATGAAAAACAGTTGTTAATGGAATAAAAAAAAATGTTATGGAAGTAGTAAGATAATATTAACTGTGTTACATTAGAATAGAAATAAGTTAGTGGGAAGATGGAAGATTTTTGTTTAGTAATATAACAAAGAGCCACTTAACAGTCAAATCAGTTTTTTAAATAGCAAAAGGCTCCTTCTTCAACTAAATCTGTCATTTGATAGTGTATGTGTAATTGAGGATTCAAATTATTTTACACCATTTGCAAAGGAAGATGAAATAATTCATCTCTCTCTTGGAGTTATTTAAGTAAGTTGTTTTACAACTTTACGTGGTACTGAACATATACAATCAAATGGAAAAGGAAGTACATAATAGAATCATAAAATCATGAAGTTGGAAGGGGCCTAGAAGGCCATTCCCTGCTCATTGCAGGAATACAAATTGAAGGATGTCTGCCAAGTGAATGTCTAAATTTATCTTGACTAGATGCAGTATTGGAGCACTCAGCACCTCTCAAGATAATTGGTTCTATTGCCGTACTGCTCTAACAGTTACGAAGGATTTTCTGATATTCAAGTGAAATCTGGCTTCCTGTAACTTGAGCCCATTGTCACATTTCCTGTACTCTGGGATGATTGAGAACAGATCCTACCCCTCCTCTGTATGATGGTCTTTAAAGCATTTGAAAAGTGTTATCATATGTCCCCTCAGTCTTCTTTTCTCAAAACTAAACATGCCCAGTTCATAGAAAAGAAAAATGAAGTCAGAAGGGGCCTGCAAGACAATCAAGTCCAACCCCTTGCTCAATGCAGGAATACAATCAACACATATCTGCCAGGTGATTATGTTTTTCTTGAATGCCTCCAGAGTTGGAGCACTCACCAACTCCTGAGGTAATTGGTTCCACTGTTGTACTGCTCTAACAGGAAGTTTTTCCTGATACTCAACCAAAATCTGGCTTCCTTTAACTTGAGCCCATTGTAGCGTGTCCTGCATTCTGGGATGATCAAGAACAGATCTTGCCGCTCCTCTGTATGATAGCCTTTCAAGTATTTGAAAAGTGTTATCATAACTTGTATCAGTCTTCATTTCTCAAGGCTAAACATGCCCAGTTCTTTCAGCCTTTCCTTATAAGGCTTGATTTCCAGTCCCCTGATCATTCTTTTCGCCCTCCTCTGAACTTGTTTCAATTTGTTAGCATCCTTCTTGATTTGTGGTGTCCGGAACTGGACACAGTACTCAATGTGAGGCCCAACCAGTGCTGAATAGAGAGGGACTAGCACCTTGCTGGATTTGGAAACAATACTTCTATTAATGCCTCAAATAGCATGGGCCTTTTTTGTAGCCACATCACGCTATTGGCTCATATTTAGTTTGTGATCTACGACAATTCCAAGATCCTTCTCGCTCGTAGTTTTACTGAGCCAGATATCTTGTAACTGTGTAATTGGTTTCTTTTTCTGAGGTGCAATACTTTGCATATATCCCTGTTGAATTTCATTCTGTTGCGTTCAGCCCTTTGTTCCATCCTATCAAAGTCATTTTGAATTTTGTGTCTGTCTTCTAGTGTACAGTGGTGCCTTGCACAGCGAGGTTAATCTGTTCCGGATTAACCTTCGCTGTGGGAAACATCGCACTACGGAACCCAAAAAGGCATTGGAACGCATTAAACAGCGTTTAATGCGTTCCAGTGCCATAGAATACTCACCGTTGTGTGATGTTTCCCAGGGGCCGGCAGCCATTTTCACGCCCTCCCCTCGCACAACGAGGGCGCCAAAATGGCTGCCATCAGCTGTCCGGTGGGTCCAAAATGGCCGCTGGAACAGCCGAAAGGGGCCGGGGCGCAGCGTTTACGCGCCCTTGGTTGCGCGCAGCCATTTCGGGGCTTCTGCAGCGTTTTCACGCGCTCCCCTTGCTTACCAAGGGCGTGAAAACGCTGCGCCCCGGCCCCTTTCGGCTGTCCCGGCGGCCATTTTGGACCCGCCGGACAGCTGATGGCAGCCATTTTGGCGCCCTCGTTGTGCGAGGGGAGGGCGTGAAAATGGCTGCCGGCCCCTGGGAAACATCTCCAAGTCATTAAAAAATATTGAAGAAGACTGGGCCCAGGACTGAACTTTGGGGTACCCCTCTTGTTACCTCATGCCAGTTAGAGAAGGACCCATTAACCTTCTGAGTACAATTCTGTAGCCACTTTGCTGAAGTCAAGATATACTACGTCTACAACATTCCTTCTGTCTATCAGGGAGGTGGCCTGATCAAAAAACGAGATAAAATTTGTTTAGCAGGATTTGTGCCTGACAAATCTGTGTTGGCTTCTAGTTATGACTGCATTGTTTTCTAGGTGCTTGCACAATGACCACTTTACGGTCTGTTCCAGAATGTTGCCTGGGATTGATGTCAGGCTGACTGGCCTGTAGTTCCCAGGTTCCTCTTTTTTGCCCTTTTTGAATATAGGGACAATTTTGGCCTTCCTCCAATTCTCTGGCACTCACCTGTTTCCCATGATTTCAAGAAAAACAGTGGATAGCTGTTCTGAGAGTTCTTCAGCCAGTTCCTTCAGTACTCTGGGATGCAGTTCATCTGGCCCTGGAGATTTGAACTTGTTCAAGGTGGTAAGGTATTCCTTGACTGTTTGTTTATCTATTTCCAGCTGTAATCCTGTGCCCCTCTACTTGCACTTCCAATTTGTTTGGAAGCTCATAGTCTATTTTATGGGGAAAGAACTGAACTAAAATAGGAATTGAGCACCTGTCTTCCTTTTCTTTGCCCTCTATTGTCATGTTTCCATCTCTGTTGCGAAGCTGTGCCACAATGTCTTTTGTTTGTCTTTCATCTGGCCCTGGAGATTTGAACTTGTTCAAGGTGGTAAGGTATTCCTTGACTGTTTGTTTATCTATTTCCAGCTGTAATCCTGTGCCCCTCTACTTGCACTTCCAATTTGTTTGGAAGCTCATAGTCTATTTTATGGGGAAAGAACTGAACTAAAATAGGAATTGAGCACCTCTTCCTTTTCTTTGCCCTCTATTGTCATGTTTCCATCTCTGTTGCGAAGCTGTGCCACAATGTCTTTTGTTTGTCTTTTGCTACTCGCATACCTGAAGGATGCTTTTTTATTGCTTTTAATGTCTCTAGCTAACCTCAACTCATTCTCAGCTTTTGTCCTCCTAAAGCCATCCCTGCATTTCCTTGCTACTTGTCTGTACTCCTCCTTGGTGGCCTGGCCTTCTTTCCAATTCCTGTACATGTATTTTTTTGTTTTTAGGTCCTTCTTGAGGTTTTTTTGTGAAGCTACACTGGCCTTTTTTGCTTCATGAGGGAGGACCTTGCAGGTTACCCTTATGAACAATGGAACATATAGGGAAAATTACATACAAAAACACCATAATAATATGCTTACCAGTTATGTCCTAAATCATATACAGTAACATAATTCAACATATGACACATTATATTGCCATATATTTATGTTCAGAACATTACTTCATATAAACAAGTTGTTACTAAAAAAAAAACAGTTAACACCATAACATACAGCTGTCTTAACCCATCAGTCATCTGGTCTCCATAACAGAGTATCAGCAACCACGTTCTGGGTCCCTTTCACATTGTGAATCTCAAAATCAAAGTCAGCATTGTTCCCAGCCCAACATTGGATGCATCTGTGAAGATTAAAAATTCACGTTGGAAGTCTGGTGTCCTCAGAACTGGACCAGAAGTCAATGCAGTCTTTAATTTATTAAAGGCTTCCTCACAGTTGGCTGTCTAATGGATTTTCTCAGTTTGTTTTTTGTGGGTTAGATTAGACAAAGGGGCGGTTACATTGCAGATGTTACGGACAAACCGTTGATAGTAGCCTGCTAACCCCAGAAAAGGAAGAGCCTTGTGGTGCAGTGGTTAAACTGCTGTAAGGTAAAGGTAAAGGTTCCCCTTGACCATTTTTGTCCAGTCGTGTTCGACTCTAGGGGGCGGTGCTCATCCCTGTTTCCAAGCCATAGAGCCAGTGTTTTGTCCGAAGACAATCTTCCGTGGTCACATGGCCAGTACAACTTAGACACAGAACGCTGTTACCTTCCCACCAAGGTGGTTCCTATTTATCTACTTGCATTTGCATGCTTTCAAACCATTAGGTTGGCAGGAGCTGGGACAAGCGATGGGCACTCACTCCGTCGCGTGGATTTGATCCTACGACTGCTGGTCTTCTGACCCTGCAGCACAGGCTTCTGCAGTTTAGCCCGCAGCGCCACCACGTCCCTGCAGCCAAAACTGTGCTCATGACCTGGGGTTCAATCCTAGGTAGCCAGCTCAAGGTTGACTCAGCCTTCTATCCTTCTGAGGTTGGTAAAATGAATACCCATATCATTGGGATGGGCAATGTGTAGCCTGCATAATGTGTAGCCTGCATAATTAACTTGTCTCCTGTTATCAGATTATGTATCAGGACGTAATAAAAATCGACTGGACCTTAGCAGGTCTGAAAATTAGGTAAATACAACCTCAGATGAACAACAATACATGACGTATTACACCGTGTCATGATTTATTTAACTAAAATTAAGGTAAAATGGAGAAACCATGGTTCAGAAACTAAGT